ATGGGGGCAGAAAATGTGTATATTTATACCACTTCATACAGCTAATCAATTTCACACAAAGAGTTCTGTTTTTCTCCAAATATTACCATGATTACAAACCTGACATTGATTTTTTACAACAGTTCAATAATTAAGAAGTTAAGTTACGTAGACTTAGGTTTTAGACACCACATTGCCTGTTTTTGCACTATTTCGCCAACAAAAAATCATTCCAAACACAGCCACAGCACAGTTTTGTGTCTCTGAGCAACATGACGGTGTTTCGTTCCTGAATGAATCAACCGTTTAAACGATTCGGTTCAATCGCAATGACTCACGTATTAACAGTGACTTGCTGCCACCTACTGGTGGCTTTAATTTCACATTCAAAGTATCTTTTATTATATAAATAATTTTAAATATCAGTATTCAACGTTTTATGTTTAATATATCAAAACATTATTTATGCATTTGTAACTGCAGGTTAAATGCATTCATGTCCTGCATTAAACAGTGTGTAAACACATCTAAATGCCACTTCAGATGCAGCTTCCGTGTTGATTTCATTTGCTTGGTAACAGACCAGATGTCTTATTCTAATCGACTGATTAAATGTAAGAATTAGATTCAAAAGATGATGCACACTTTTAGAAAAAATGGCTTTATAAACGGTAAAAACACCCATAAAAGGTAAAAATCAATTCAAACTTATTGAAAAAGATTAATTTCTATCACTATCACACAGAATATGAAGAATATCAAAAACTTTAGGTGTCAGCGGTCCACGATAGTCCTTAAGATACCAGCACAATAACACACTCAGCAAAATATCATCTAATTATCGGTATCGATAAAATCCCAGAAAATAACGAGATATGAAGAGCTCATTTGCAAAACCGATAAACGCCACTTTCAATAAAAAAGAGCTGATTGCCGTGCATTATTCTCCACATACAGCGCGATCTGAACCCTAAACACGTTGTGTCAAAAAAGCCGGTTTTGTCCACTTTCAAGGCATCGCGAGTTCACGTTTTACTGCAGAAGCCGACAAGCGCCTTGTTGTTTTTGAACAGAAGCCGATAAGTCCATTTCAGCGAATCAGCGCGCTGTATTCAGGTCAGGTGACAAGACTACATTCACTGTGAAAAGACGTGCTAGCTGAGAGGAGTTTCTCAAAGCTGACTAAAAGTGATCGAGGATCATTTCGACGACCCTGATGAACCTGTGGTATCTTCTTCAGGGTGAAGAAGGAAAATAAAAGCTGAAAGGTTTTCACGGAAGCTTGCGAAAGCAGCGCGTTACACTGATGAGGGAAAAGCTCCGTGTGTTGCGTGTAATCACATCCATACAGTTTATGATCACAACAACAACGTTTGTCAGGCGTCTACATTATCATCTGAGGAGGTTACAAAGATTAAACAAGTGTTTTTTTAAACACTAAAACATGAAATGTGGAGTTATCTGCTTTTGCTATAAAACTAACTTTTAAAATGTAAAAAAAAACATTCTTTCAATGAACATTAATTTAGTAAATTACCTGTATTTGCTTAAGTTATTATTACTTAATCAAAACAACCCAACTGCATTTTGATTGATATTACTTGAAATGCGCAATAAAAAAAAAAACCGTGATTTCTGAAAAAAAATAAAAATGCAGTTATCGGTTTTTGCAAATGAACTCTTCATATTATTTTTTGTCAATATCGCACACCCCTATTACAAATCTGCTGATTGTCTCCCCTGACTGACTCTTACCGTCCTCGGAGAAGGAGAACTGCAGCAGTGAAGGGATGAGGAAGGACAGGCTGCTCTTGGAGTGGTTGATCTTCCTGCAGCGCTGACTGAACCAGCCCGCTTCAGCCTGATATGCGATCTCGTACAGACAACCGTCTTTCCCCGCCATGAAGACGCGGCCCACATCCGTGGAGGTGATGGCTAGCAGGTAGGTGTTATCCGTGGGGATGGAGTAGAGAGGATCTGGCAACAGCTGCATGGCTCCTGACATGCTGTCATTCAGACCTGCGGCACACAAACGCAGACCGAGAATCAATCCCACTCGTGCAAATGTTGATTCAATCTAGAGCTGTGCAATTAATCACATGCGATTGTCATGAGCATCTCGTCAGTAAAGCCGGTTCCGTGATTGGTAGTGAATCGCATTCGATTATGAACGCAATATTGCCTAGCTTGTCAGTGAACTACGGCTCTGTGTATTAAATGCCGCTCCATCTGAAAGCAGGTGATGACTATTTACTACCAATCACGGAACCGGCTTTACTGACGAGATGCGCATGACAATCGCATGTGATTAATTGCACAGCCCTAATTGAATCACATCCAAACATGACACTCACCTGTATGGGCTTTTGGGAAGCTCAAGCCCAGGATCACGACATCCACCGGTGTGGCCAACACTAACAGGAAGTGGATGTGAGGCTGAAAAATACCTGTAACAAACAAAAGTAGTTGATTGAGGTAGACTCACTTCTCCATTTATTTTTCTTCAACTAGTAATAAAAATATTCTCAAATTGTTTCAAGAATCAGTCACATTTAGTTAGTTTGCTTTCCTCTCCTTAATAATGTTTTTTTTTTTTAAATTAAGGTTTTTAATTATTACTATATATTTTTTTAAATCATAGTCATAATTTATGGCTAATTTATATTGTGTATGTACACACAATATAAAATAAATAAAATTACTTTTTCACATAGTACCAGTCAGGTTCGGACCGCTTTTTTCCCTTAATAAATAAAAATTATTATTTCAAAACAGAATTTTGTATTTACTCATGAAAAATTTAAGGGGGTCTGAATACTTTCCGTACCCACTGTGTATATATATATATATATATATATATATATAAACAAATTTTTGCTTGTTAACTCTCGTGTATTTTTTACTCTTGTTTTTCACATGCAAACTTTTGTGCTGATGCTCTTTAATATTCCCCTGAAAGTGTTTGTACATTTCAGTTTAGGTGTATCATTTCTGTTTATTGAATAAATAAAAAAATCTGTAACTAAGACTACCCATTTCAATACAATATTTGGAATATAAAAACAATCAGTGGTAAAACATCAAATTATGAAAACTAAAAATCTCCAGAAAAAAATATTTCGATGCATTACACACATCTTTGGCTTATGACTGATAAAACATCCGAATAATCAATCCGTAACATTCTCAACTTAGCTTCTGAGAGTGAGCACTAAATAGTGCACAACAGAAAGTCCAACTAACCTGGCTTAGGTTTGACAAGTCCAACTGACAGTATAGTTTCACTGAGCCCGTCAAAATACGCCACATCACTCCTGAAGAAACGAACAAGACAAATCAACATCAATGAACTTCTGAAATACTTAATACCAGAAATATTCAAAGTGCCAACATTCTGCTCATTTACAATTTTATTTTATTTTCGGGGTCTGCTGGAAAACATTCACATGATTTAAAGCTCACACATTTTTCTCACGTCATAAGATCGTTTACATGCACAGACAGCTATATTACATGTAAAATAATTTAAAATAAAAAGCATAATAAGTGCCCTTTAATGACATCCAGTGTGTCGATACTCACCCATCCTCATAATTCCACATAAAAATGTCATTATCGATGGTGAGCCACGCTCTGGAGATTTCAGGGAAAACTCCCATCATGCAATTGCACTGCATATCTGGTAAAAAAGGGGCAATTAAGGCACTGCAAACAACTCAGGGTGCTTTCACACCTGGCCTGTTGTTTCGGAACCTGGTGCATTTCCCCCCTTAGCTCGGTTCGTTTGGGCATATGTGAACACGGTAATCGTGCACGGATCCGCGCCAATCAGTCCGAGATCGCCTGAACGACGTGGTCTGGGCTTGATTGAAAACGAGCTCTGGAGCGTTTCGGTTGTAGTGAGAAAGCAATCCGATCTAACAGACCAACGGACCAGGCTATATCACAATGTATAATAGGTAATTACGCAAGTTCCGTGAAAAGCATCAGCTTTGTTGTTTTGCTAATACTTCAAAATGAACCTGTGAATGTCTGTGGGTGAGCACGTCTTCGCCAGTCAAAATAAAAAAAGCGCACTTTTTCATTTTATATTGCTCTTCTTCCTAGTATGTGCATTTTAAAAATGAATCCTGGACTCCTGCTCAAAATGATAAATAAGGACAGCAAAAAAAATAAAAATAAAAAGCTGTTGTTGACGGATGACAGCCGTGGCAGCTCAGTGGAATCCCGGAAAATAAACCGTGGAACTTTGACCAATGAGAGAACAGTTTACTCGCGCGTGACTTGTATTAACAAATTTGGTCCGTTTAGAAACTTTGCCGTGTGAAAGCGAACCGAACCAAGAATAAAAAGCAACATTGTAATAATTTTTAGATATGAGCCTGTTGCCGATATATCGGTATCGGCGAATACGCCGCCGATATGAATTTTTTTTTACAGAACATATAACGCAGATTTTTTCATTTTATATTGCTCTTCTTCCTAGTATGTGCATTTTAAAAATGAATCCTGGACTCCTGCTCAAAATGATAAATAAGGACAGCAAAAAAAATAAAAATAAAAAGCTGTTGTTGACGGATGACAGCCGTGGCAGCTCAGTGGAATCCCGGAAAATAAACCGTGGAACTTTGACCAATGAGAGAACAGTTTACTCGCGCGTGACTTGTATTAACAAATTTGGTCCGTTTAGAAACTTTGCCGTGTGAAAGCGAACCGAACCAAGAATAAAAAGCAACATTGTAATAATTTTTAGATATGAGCCTGTTGCCGATATATCGGTATCGGCGAATACGCCGCCGATATGAATTTTTTTTTACAGAACATATAACGCAGATAAAATGCTTGAAATGGTGTAATTACTTAGTTTGTCCAGCAGAGCCGCGCGCCATTGTTTGCTACTGGCGACCTGGATGAAACGCTTTTGAAGACACCATAGTGACACCAGTCAACACTTTCACTTCAGTAAGGACTTGTTCAGGCAGCAGCATTCAATCGTGGTCTTACTCGACCGTAAGTGCCCTGCGAAGTGGACTTCACATGAAATTATGCCATGATTCCAGTTCCAAGGGAACTTAAACGTTACATTCAAAGGGCATTAAAGTGCGCGAGACGTTAATTTATTTAGTATTTATTTACAGAGGTATATTATGTCACACTTCTCTAGTAAGTTTCATCTGTGTGTGAAGACAGTAGCGGAAATCCGAGAATGAATGAATGTTTCGAAGTGAAAAACTTTAACGGAATAAAGTTGAATGGAATTGAATTGAAGTTGAATAAACTTAAACTTTACTGTTCAGTGCACTGATGTCAGACTCATTTTGGATAATAAAGTTTGTTAAATTGTTAAAAGCCCTGCCTCCATTACATATCTCTGTCACTGTTTGATCACCACATTTGAGTGATCATTGCAAAAAATGTGTTTGTGTATATATATTCTGTTTATGTCTATACTGTATTCTATATATAGTACCAGTCAAATGTGTGGACACACGAATGGGAAAGTGTCCAAACTTTTGACTGGTACTGTACTATAATATACACACAGAATACCGGCCGATATATCGGTATCGGCCTTTTTTTTACTCCCTAATATCGGTCGGGCTCTAATGAGTTTAATCCCCATTTCGGAACAAAGCAATCAATCTACAGGTGCGAAAGCACCCTTAATGGATTCATTCTACAAGACACTTTCTGTGCAAGATTTATTTTGTGCATCTGTATGGTAGGATACGTCCGAACTGCTCGACGAGCTCCGGAGGCAGAGGAACCCTGCGGATGGCGCTGAGCTCCGGAAGACTCGGCACGCTGATCAGCCCCGGTCCCTGCAGAGGGTAATCCATGTCCGACACGCCCGAGAGCGAAGGCATATCTGCCAAACACCAGACACAAGCACATGAACGTGTTTTAAGCTCAATAAGCATGCCTCAACAACGGCCAGGACAGACAGTATCTCTTACTGTGTGACGGGATATTGAGGAGCTCGGACAGGTCCGGGAAACAGCGATCCTCCTGCAGATGCCGGTCAATCAAGCGGCTGGAGTTTTCCAAAGCCTCCTGAAGAACTGCAGCTGGACTGCTGGAGCCCAGACTGGACGGCATGATCACTGCAAGACTACAAACCACCTGCAGAGAGAAGCACATAAATCTATTATTATTATAATAATAAAAAATTATTTATTTATTGTATAATTTGTGTTAATAAAAATGCAATGTATACATATATATATTGCACGTGTATATATATTTTTTAAATTTTTAAATATTAATATAATTTGATTTTATTATACATTTCTATACACATGTATATATACTTCTACTAATACACACATTAACACGCTTTCGGCACTTTAAGATAAAAATCGAACACAAATGGAGGCACAAAAAAACTATAAATGTATAAAAACATATGCATACTTTCTAAAAACTAAAGCAGGTGTTCAGAGTAAATAATAACTAACGTTAACGTATCGTGAAAGTAACGTTACGTTACTTGAGTCACGTCTTGAACAGTATTATGAAATATTAATTTCTTTATACAGCCAAGTAACTCACCTGTGACTGTAATAACCACATCCAGTTATAGCACACAAACAATGAGCTTTAATTAACCCGATTTGAAAATAAACATGCTGTGATGTTAAATCAAATTTAAATGAATCCGAGATGTTGAGTACGTTAGCTTTAGCCACACAGCTAATTCAAAACACAAGAGCACCCAAAAGACATTAGATATTCTCTAAAGAGCTCTACTTGAGCTCTGATTGAACAGCGATTCGAATAAACTCACCTCTGACTGAAAATGATATTCATAAAAAATATCAGCGGAAAGTGAAAGAGCAAAGCGAGTTTGTGAACTTCAGTGACTCCCGCCAAGCGTGTGAGCGTGTGAGCGTGAAGCGCACCGGAAACACGCGCACATTCCAAAATAAAAGTCACTAGATTCTCCTGCCTGTGTTGTAGAGCCCGACTGAAATGAGCTCGACTATAAAAAATGAATGATAAATTCAGCTAGTCTGTAGTCTAATCCCACATTCAGACTGTCTGCTGTGGGTTGTATCCTTGTAGGGGCTCTCCATAAGGCGTAATGGTTTTTATACTGTATAAACTGTATTTTCTATCGCCCTACACCTAAACCTACCCCTTACAGAAAACTTTCTGCATTTTTAATTTCTCAAAAAAACTCATTCTGTATGATTTATACGCTTGTTTACCCATGGGGACCTCAATTTAGGGGGGACCTCAAATTAAACACACAAACACTCTCTCACACACACACACACACACACACTCTCTCTCACACACACACACACTCACACACTCTCTCTCTCTCTCACACACACACACACACACACACTTACACACACAGATTTAATTGATTTCTTTCTCAAATTGAATTGACTGCTCTAAAATATGAGACACCAATGTTTTAGGAGTTTAAGACACATAATAGAACACGTTTATTCGATAACTGTTTTATTTTCTATTTGGGTTTATGTGTTTATTTTTTAAGATTGACTATTTTTCCAAGGCATTGTTAGTCATAGCTGTGCAAAGATTTGACTTCAAAAACAGTATCATAGCTATTAAACTCTATCTTGTTATGATTTTAAATCAGTATTTAACCTCAAAGTCTGATTTTTTTGTAGTGGCTGTGCTTTAAAATAAAATTTCTTTAAATGTTTGAAAATTAATAACAGCTGAAAACATTCATTAGCGATTAAAAAAAAAAACATACTCAAATGTAATCAGTTACATTACTTTAATAAAGAAATAATAATACTATATATTAGTAGTAATAATTATTACAATACAAAGAACAATAATATATAATGTTTTTTGTCATAATAAAACTTAGATACAATTTTAAACAATCTATTGTTACTAATAACAGTTTAAAATATTGATTATAGTAATTTGGTAAATTTGAGTAGCCTATTTGACATTAAAGACAACATAGTATGGTGATTGCCCTCAAGATTGCCCTCAAGAATGTAAAAAAATGCCCCTGGAAATCAATGCAATGCAAATGCAATGCAAAAGTTAATTTCTGACCTTGCCACACACCTTATTTTACTCATGAATTGGGAAAATCTTGAGGGTGCCCATGGCGAATTTGTCTTACGGGTTTCGATATCAAGACTGAAACACTACAAATGACTTTTGTCCATTTTGAGAATATCCCTGTCACTCTTTACTATTAATTTAAATACACTCTTAAAAATAAAGGTGCTTCAAAAGGTTCTTCAAGCGATGCCATAGAAGAACCATTTTTGGTTCCACAAAGAAGCATTCAGTCAAAGGTTCTTTAAAGAACCATCTTTCTTACCTTTTTATAATCTGAAGAACCTTCTTTCACCACAAAGAAGCTTTTGTGAAACAGAAAGGTTCTTCAGATGTTAAAGGTTCTTTATGGAACCATTTAGACAAAAAGGTTCTTCTATGGCATCGTGAAGCACCTTTATTTTTAAGAGTGTATAGCCTTCTAGAGATCAGAACCAAAGCACAGCATCCCGACTGCGGCGCGTTGACGCTCCACGCCACGCCCTGCGCGCCCGACTCACGACGACGCACTTCATCCTGCGCACATTCATCCCTCACAAGAACAGCGGACTCCAGCCATGGCAGGTGAGTCTTTCAGCTTTTAATCTGTGCGAAAGCTGCGCGTCAGGATGAGTTTCGGATGAGACAGAATCTGTGTTTGTCTGATTACAGAATTGGAGACGCGTCAGAGGCTGCTGCGCAGCGTCAAGAAGGAGGTGGGAGATTCTCATTGTTTATCAGATACTGAGCAGATGATCGATAGATGCTGTCGATTACTAAATCTGATCATAATGACTGGGGATGCAGGTGCTAAATGTGTCACACACACACACAC